AACAATGATTGACTGCGAACAATTATTTTCGACTATTACTTGCAACAGTGTCTGACAGAGTAAGGTTTTATCGTGAAATGATTTATGCAAATATACAATGCAACGTCACTTTTGTATGCCACATGTCAAAGAACAAAAAAAAATTGATATTTACACGTATACATTTCTGAGTCATTTGGACACATGATAATAACTCATTTTACAAGTTAGAAGGTGCCGGCAATTCGAGTTTCACATAACATTTTTTCGCATATTCTGAGAGAGAAAGAACTGCCGATCACCAAAATCTACTTTTTAGCCTTGGCAAATGCCTCCTTCTAGTGAAAAAATGCGAAATACTGAAGAGGTGTCATTTTTCGGGAAAAACACATCGTTTGTAAAAAATGTGTAAAATTTCCTACTTTGTTCTTTTTTCGCTTCTGAAAATAATTTTTGCAGATTCAGCATCGAAATTTGAGTATACTTGAGTTGTCAGATCGACTCTAGATCTAAAATTCAATTGATGGTGGCGCTACGAATGAGTCGATTTTATAAACCTATCTAGTTTTTCTACTTAAGTGATGAAGCGAAAGTTTTTTATCTCATTCGACTCATCATACCATCCCTCACCATGCCTAGTATCAGTTTTTTTCTGATTTTTTTCAGATATCGCTGATGAACTTGAGATTGCTGTATACGCATCGGGAAATAAAAGTTGTCAAATTAACTCAAAAGATACTTTATTCGTCTCAGTTTTTTGTGCTGAATCCAAGTCTGTAACTGATTTGTGATTTAAAGTTCTATTTGAATCCGAAAGCCGTTGAACATTGACTAGAATGGCTCTGGTTTCAGTAAAATCGAGTTTTCTCAATTTAGGAAAAGAAATAAAAAAAACCGATATTAGGCATGGTCATGGATGGTATGATGAGTCGAATGAGATAAAATGGTGTGGGTGTGGGTGTAAGTGTTGCTGATGTCTTATATTTCATGCCTTCACATCCACACCCACACCCTGTTATCAAATAGCAGACACCGATCAAAATTATGAATTCTAAATGATAAATTAAGCACAATGATAAATAAAAGAAAAATAAATGTAAACTCAAATCTTGAACCACAACTAGATAAAAGTTGATGTTATCATATAGCAGCTATTGGTCGAAATTGGGAACTTTGATATTATTAGTGGACTCTTTCTCTGAAATAATACGCAATTATCTATTTTTTCCGTGCTGTATTATAAATTTGTAAATGCTTATAAGTGATTGTGATTCGTGACATTTTTTCTTACAATAACCAACTTACTTTGTACCTTTCATTAATTTTTGTTTTTACAACTTTGTATTTCTCTGAAGTTGTTCATGTATATGAATTTCAATTAAACTTCTAATTGAAATTCTGCGATTTCATTAAATATACGCATTTTATTCTATCAAGATATCTTCATACTAATTATTTGTAAATTTTGTGTTCCAATATAGTTTACAATTTAACTTAGGTCTTAATGCATAAATCTTGTATTTCTATCTCTTAACTCCTTTTAATACGTGCTTTTTATTGTAATGCAGAGCCCTGATGAGTGTTTTGTTATTAAAATAAATTAAACTCTGCATTTCTATTTATAATTTGATTAAGCACATTATGCAGAGCTTGAAAATAATTACGACTTCATCGATTGCTGAGAAGTAAGAGTTGTGACTAGCAGATTGATTTGTATAAGAGAGATATAGTTCGGTCTGTTTTCTATCTTTTATCATTTCCAGTAATGCTATACTTATTATACTTTTTTTTCTTAGTTTCAATTTTTACTTCTTTCAAATCCTGTATACATACATATGTACCTATTTATCTTTTATTCTTGACGTGTTGACTAATTCGTTACATGTATATTAGATTTTTTATTCTTATGCCTATATTGAATACTGAAAGATGTGCATATGACAGTTCTATATCAGATAAGGCACGACATATTTCGGGGTATTTTGTTCCTTATGGAATAAGACAAAACTAAGATATTTTTATTCTTTAGAATATACTACTTGTGTTATCTTGTTTTGCATTCCATCTTTAAGAAAACCAGATCGAAATAAGTGTTTTAAAAAATTAAATTAATCATTCAGGCATGAAAGAATTGTTTTTTTTTTCTCACAAAGCATGCTTGAGAAAATCATCTCAATTTGTATAGTGATACAACGACTGCAATCGTTTTTTTTAAGATCTCTGGCTAATCTTTGATTTATTATCAGAATACTGAAAGCTGGATGAATACTATATAGTCGGTACACTCTGCAGTAATAATATCAACTTGGATTATTCTTTGATAGGAATCGTCATCTTCTTCTATCAGTGTCTAATACTACTATCTCTCGTCAATAAAATAGAAAGTAATTTCATCTAAGCAGTAAAAGTAGATGTTTATACGTATGGTCGTTTGCGTGAAGAACGGATACGATCGTATAAGATATACTTATCTAGAATATGATTCCACAAGATGTCGTGGGAGAATCTTCTTATGTACGATATTTATCGAGATAAGCGGGTTATCGTATGCTCGTATATAATATATTATAAAAAGTCAACAGCATACTCGACACATAAAAGAATCGGTCCATACATATTCATCTTAGTACTATTGTAACATTAGTATCCAGGCAATCTTCTCTACTGATGTACTCTCACTCTATAAGATGTCTAATATTTATTGTCTCCAAATGAACCCAAACAGTGAGATACAATAGTAACAAAATTATTTATTCATCGATGAATTAGATTGAATGGCTGAAAAGAAAAACTCTACGACTAATTGGACAATGATAATTTTAATATTGTTAATAATAGCTGTAGTGAAAGCTATCTCGATTGGTAAAAATATTCTATGGATAAAATAAATTATATAAATTTTATCGATAGCGGAGACACATTATCTCTAGGTTATAATATGTGGAAACAAATAGTGTTGAATGATATAAATAGCGTTGAACTAGTGAATTGAAAAAAAACATGGGCTTTAATTGCGTCATTTAGTCCATTCTTTTTGTTAATGCATACAATCTTCGTTATATTGAATTTTTCGAAACATTTTAAAGGAATATGCATAAGAACAACATGTTTGTATGAAACACTTATAAATGTACTGAGTGTGGATGTGGGTGAGTGTGGGTGTGGGTGGGGTGGGGTGGGTGAGGGTGTTTGTCTTCACAGAATTCTGACACCCACACCCACACCCACACCCACACCTCACATCCATCCCACACCCGCCCCACACCCTATCTTTCATACTATTCGTCATGTAAGACTTATACTATTATCAGTTTTCAATTTGAACCAAAAATACTTGGTAAAAGTAACATAAAATATCTCGATACATTTAATAATGAAGTGTTGCTAATATGTAACTATTAGGAATTGCAGTACCATCAATATTTCAAAAAGAAATTATTTATTCGAGTAGCTATTATTAATCATAGAACTACACTTGAAGATTTTCACATTTTTCTTGATAGTCTCTTCAAAATGTATCAAATTAGAATTCAAACATATTCTAACCAAAGTAATTGAATACACTTATTCTTTTTCCTTTTCAGTAACAATTAAATTAATGTCAATGAGAAACACAAAATTTAACTTTATGTTATAGCGTCTATTCTAAAACTTTAAGATTCATTTTCCCAAATGGGTAGAGAAATATATTTTCACTAACGTTATTTAAGTATCAACTGAATCTTGCAAATGTCCCTATGCACAGTATAAAATAAATATATGGAAGAAATATAAATTTTTATTGTATGACATATTAGAAAAAGGAGAAAAATAAATAACAACATTTATGCGCTAAGAATTTGTTGGATTATAGAACAATTCATTATTGTTTGTATTGACGATATCGATCAAATAGAATAGATGAGTATATATGCATATAAATATTGACATTCATAAGTTGAAAAGAAGAATAGATCACTAAAAATAAACATGGAATATTCATGCACTGGATTAAATAATTTACCTGATGAAATTCTTATGATTATTTTTCAAAAATTGAATAATATTGACGTACTTTATTCTTTCTATGGTATCAATCAGCGACTAAATAAAATAATTCATGATCGAATTTTTACAAGTCATTTGACTTTTGTCAAATGGTTATCAGATAATTTTATCGATCTATTTTCTTCTAATATAATGCTTAATCGATTTTGTTTACAAATTTTACCTTCGATTCATGATAAAATTCAATGGCTTGATCTTGATTCATCATCTATAAAACACGTAAAACGTGTTGCCAATTATCCTAACTTAGATAGTCTTGGTCTTTATAATATTGATGAAGAGTCAGCTCAATGTCTTTTTACTGGTAAGAAATTTTAATTGAATTCTTTTCATTCTAAACAAATGAAAGATTTATCAAAGACTATATTATTGACATATATTGATTATATATGTTTAGATGAAACTCTTTCGAGTATTTTCAAAAATCAAATAACAACACTTTTTATTACAATATATAATAATAATGATGATAATTATGAAGGAAAGATACTATCAGTGACAAATGCATATGATAAAATTTTCACTGTCTTCAATCGTCTGACTACGTTTGTATTATATGAATCATCGTATAAAAATCGTGTTCGAATAATTTTACTTTTTAGGGCGACTTACCAAATCTAAAGTGTTTTTCTCTTTCCTGTAAACTCGAAACATATGATTATAATGAAGCAATCCCTCCACTTCTCTATCGAATGTCAAATCTAGAAAAACTCGATTTATGTCTTACCGTGTATGTTGATAAAACATTTATTGATGGAAACCATTTAAAGACAAAAATTATTAAACACATACCACGATTAAATCAATTTACATTTTTTATTCAATCATTCATCTATGTTCGTAATGAAATGAGTTTTCCATCAACAGAAGATATTCAACCCACATTCATTGACTATCCAAATAATAAAATAATTTCTTATGTTGATAATTTTGCAGATGTAAAACGAAGTCAATGTCATATTTACTCATATCCATTTCTAATGCGATATTCTACCAGTATTACAAATAATTTTTCAGGTGGATTATTTGAATATGTTCGTTCGGTGTCATTATTTGATGAACATCCTTTGAACATGAATTTTTTCTTCGAATTGTTCAATCATTTCCATTTATAGAAGGATTATCTTTGGCTAATCGTAAACCACAAAACGGAAAACAATCTTATAAATCAAACAGTGATAATCGAAATTTATCACTTATTGAATATTTTTTTCTTAATGAACTTTATATTAGCAATGTTCATTATGATTATATAGAAAAATTTCTTTTTGATACCAAAACGTATTTGCAAAATAATGTTATTCTTTATGTCGATTATGAATCTTTACAACGAGTAACACATAATTTTGCAAGAGATGCTACTCCAACTAATTCTGCCAAAATAAGTAAATTACATTTATGCGGTCAAGGAAAACGTTCCAATTCTTTAGAGGAATATTTTCCTTATTCAAAACTATCTTATCCATTATATTGAAAGACAAAAAGAAATAAAGTATTAAATAAGAGAAAAATGTTTTTTGTTTTTTTTTGTTATAAAAAAATAAAATTTCTATAGAGATGAAAATAATCATGTGTGATAAGTAGAAATCTGAGAAATAAATTAATTTTGTTTAAACATATCTATATGTATTATGTGTATTGCGTTGAAACATAAGTTCTGCAAATTTGTGTGCATCATCAAAGATAACTGTAACTTATTATATAAAAATTAAAATCAAGTACAGTCAAGCTAAGAATCTCTACGCAACAGGATTTGATAATATTGGATCGAAGAAGTCTTCCTTTATGAACCTACATTTATTCACTTATCTGATTAAAAAGTTATAATCGCCTTTATTTTACGACCAAGGTATGTAATATCAATCAAGAATATAATCAAAATTATCTTCAACAGCATTCGCTCATCTTGGGGTGGGTGTGTGTGGGTGTGAGTGTGGGTGTGGGTATCGGTGTGTGGGTATGGGTGTGTGATGTGGGTAGGTGTAGGGTGTAAGTGGGTGTCGGATGCGAACACTGAATCCACACCCACACTCACATCCACACCACACCCACACCCCACACCCACACCCTCACCCCACACCCACTCACACCCTACACCTACCCACATCACACACCCACACACCGATACCCACACCCATACTCACACTCACACCCACACCCACATCCCACACCCACGTATCGTACGATATGGATCTACAACCAACAATCAATTGTCATCTTTAGATTGTGGTTTTTATTGATGTTGGAATTTTTGTTTAGGAAAAAAATGGCGAAATTCACAAACTGTTGAAGAAAAATATCAAGATATAATGTTAGCAGATTTTCGGGCATTTTGTGATAATGAAAACAATCGTTTAGTTAATTTCTGAAATGAAGTCAATAAAATAGCAAATAAGAAAATGCTTGAAAAGGAACAAGATGCCTGTAATGAAGATTTGGTGAATAGGTCAAAGATCTAATCTATTTTTGCATATTTTTAAGTTTACTCGGTGTTGTATGACAGTGATTATTGTAGATTTTAACTTTCGTGATAGAAAAGAAGACAAAGAGTTGTATGTAAGTTTAGCTAATAAATATAAATATATATATGTATATATGTATATGTATATACATGAATTCTTATCTATACAAAACGAAAAAGCAAAACATCTGAAAAATTGATTTCATAATTGAAAATGATGTACACTATTCACTCGAGGATGTTTATATTGATCAAATAACAGCTTTTTCTGTTCGTTCATTTGGTTGATATGGCTGATATATGCACTTGTAAACGAACATCTTTATGGTTAAAATTTGAAATTCTCTGTGTATTTTCTAAGTATTTACTACGTTCACTAGATCATATTTGGTAATAATCAGTCATCCATGAAACTATCTGTTTAATTTATTAATCTTTCCTGAGTTTGTTCACGAAAAATTATTGTCACACGGCTCATCAATCAAATCAAGATATCACTATCTATAATGATTATTCTTTACAATTTCAATGAGGACAAACATGTACGCTCACTAAAACTAGAACTATTTCGAGTGATCATATATATCATTCAAAATATGTCCATAAATCATGCTATCAACCCGTTTAATAAGTTAAAATAAGTTGTGTACGATCTTAGAATTTATAAATATAAAATTTGCTAATTTTTCGATGATTCGAACAATCGATAGATTTATGTCATTAGTAGTACTTCAATAAATCCTTTACACCTGGCAAAACCCATTGATACACTAACTTATGAAGTTTATGTTTCAATGAAAATACACAATATATTAATCTCATCGATGGCAAACGATTAAAGTAGAAAACATCTTATTCTGTGTCGCAAATTGTTGTCTATCTCGTCCTGTTTCAACATTGTTTATGTCTATGAACGTAACGGGTTTATATGTGTTTGTTGCCACGTGCTATGAATTACAGTGAAGGACTCTTTTTGCGTTCTTTCTTGACGATAAATTACACTGAAAACTTCTGTAGCATGGCGTAAAGTAAAAAATACAAATGTTGACGACGTTCTCTTTCTTGACGTAGGCAAGCATGGTGAGCGATGTTTTTTGTGTCTTACAAGAAAAAATCGTAATTTTTCTTACTCATAGCGTAAAATCTTCAAAAAATATGCAGTTGATTGTTTCAACTAATGATGCATCATCATATACATACAATTTGTGATTATATATACATTCCTATTCAAAACTTGAAGAGATAAATTTATTCAATAACGATCGTAAAGAAAACAAAAGACATCTCTTCGTCTTTGTAATTTCATTCAACAATTCATATGTGCGTTAACTACAACTATAGTCATCGTTATAAGAGTTCATCGACTTTTATATTAAATTTTTTATATGTTTCTAGACAATATGGATGAAGACTCTCTTCCAGATACTACTGATCCTGTAGAAAATATTCCTGAGATAGCTCCCAATGAAGTCGAAACATTGGCATATCAACATTTAATAGATCGATTAGAGGAAATTGAAAATTTACCAACAACAGACGCTCAAATGAAGAGAGATCAAAGATCTCAATTTGTTGCTGTATGGAGCGAAATCCTTCAAATTCCTCCATCGGATGCTCCATCTTGTTATCAGAAATGTGCTAGTCTTCTGTCACGTTTATTCAAACAAAACCAAATTCATATCATACGAGCAAATACGAAAATTGCTCGTGAGATGTGTTTTGCATGCATATCTCAACTCACTCATTCAAATATAAGTCGTTTTCTGAAGTTAAAAACAGAACAACAGAATTTACCTGACAATCGAATATTAAAAAAGCATATTTTCCATCTGCTACGAATCGCAGCACAAACAATTACACTTATTCCATTTTCAAAGGTGGACGATCGACAATTCATTGAAAACCACTTTGAACTTTATACTGTGTTGATTGAACATATCGAACAATCCATGCCTGAACATGGTGAAACAAAAGTAGAACAAGGGCATATCCTAGGAGATATTGCTTTACGTGCCCTTAATCTATTATGGAACACAACCGATCGAACTGTTCTCGTTCCACTTTTGTTGAGAAATGATTTTGTCAAGAAATTACTCGGTTGGCTTGCACAAGCATCTAAATTAGCAGACACCAATAATCGACCTCTAATCAGTATTGTTCTCAATATTGCTCGGCATGATGATGGAGCTGATGAACTCAACAAATATGGAGCCATAGACATTATCAAAGAGTATATGAAAATGTAAGTTTACATATGAAATATATCTATAGTTTCAGTTCTTGTATTCGTTTTCTAGTAAGCCAGCAAAGCCGGATAATCGAAGTTTGGCTATATCGATGACATTGGCTCTTCTTTCCACACCGGAAGAACTCAAACGTGACACGAAAGACATGAACAATGTACTCAATCGTTTGCTTCAACTTGTTATTGATTGCTCCAAAAATAATCGTTTTCGACATGAAGGTTTTCATGTTAGCGAACCATTAGTTATCTTAGTGAAGATGTTCGTTGTTGACGAACGTACACTTGAGTATGTCTTATGTCATGCAGAAACAAAGCCACCATCCGATCCTCACTCAACAATTCGTTTATTCATCACATTGCTCTTCAAATTTACGAATGCATTGGATGTCACAAATCAAATAAGACAATACACACTAATAAGTCTATTAAATATTATTTGGAGCATATCATTTCAACCGAATTATGCAAGTGAATTAACTCAAGACGAACAATTAATGTCAATTATCAAAAAGTTTGCCAACGATGATCAGGGTAAAGAAGTTCTCGAAGATTACAAGCCAAGATCGATGGAAGGTGTTAAAGAAGCAGTACATGGTATTCTACACAATCTCAATCGTGATTTTAAAACTGATATGATATTGGAGAAAAAGAAAACATATCGTGATGCACGTATATCTGATTCGACAACAAAGTGAGACCATCGATTGAATGAAAAGTCGGATATATTGAACTTTCTTGTTTCTAGAATACAACAAAAACCATCAATTATGGTTAGTTATAGTCATGAAAATAATGACTTTTGTACACATGTACTAGAAGTACTAAACAAACATAATGATGTCTTTAACATATGGATCGATCGAACACATTGTCAAGGAGCCTATGATTTATGGGAATCAATTGCTGACGGTATGGAGCAAGCATCAGTCATAGTATGTCTTCTTTCGAATCAATATTTCGAAAGTAAATCATGCCGAAAAGAATTCATCTATGCTACGGATTCACTGAAGAAAAAACTTGTACCTATATTAATTGAACAGTTCGAACCAAGGGGATGGTTAGGTTAGTTCGATAAGCAAACTGTTTCATGATATTCAATTTGTATTTCGTCTATTGAAGGTATTCGAATGACAGGTATCAAATATGTACGTTTTCGAGGAGCGTTTGGATCGGAACAAAATAAAATAATAGAATTATCAAATACAATTCTTGCAACGTTGTCACCACAAACATTACATGACGATGATAGTTATCCTTTACATTTATCACATCATGTAGTGTCACTACCGTCGCCACCATCACCACCACCACAACAACAACAACAGCAACACCAACAACATTTATCTAGTACTAATTCCATACAGCAAATTTCAATAGTCACCCTTCGTCTATTCAATCAATGGACATCCACTGGAGATGATATTAATCAATGGTTTGCATATCATCGACTATCGAATAAATTGCGAGATTTATATGACTTTCAAACTGGTGAAGAAATGCGTGAATATGCTAAAATTTTGGTAAAAGATCGTGAAAAGCAAATGCACATTTATGAAAGATTATTTTCTAAGAAATATAATGGTGAGGAATTGCCACCACACGAATTTAATCGATTCGCATTAGCTTTAGAGAAGCTACTAAGAGAGAATCTTCCGCCTACAACTACAACAAATCCATCGACTTCAAAAAACTCCAGTACATGCATTATTTTGTAAAAGATTGTAGATTTAAAGTGAACAGTAACGATTTTCTATTAAAATCTAATGAACGATCGCAGCATGATGATATTTCGAGATAGTGTAACTATTGTTTGACTTGGTTTCTTTTGGTATTTAATTTTTTTCCTCTAAAATCGAAACAATCCAATTCCATTGTACTATATAGATCTTTTTTATAAAAAATAAATAACGTAACACACTACCAGCGAGGCTCTATCAAACAATGAAATCTATTTTCATATAGTATATTGTGATTCATCTATTATATCTTTAGAGACGTCTATATATCATTCATTAGGTAACATAAATCCTAATTCCGCCAGTAGTAGACAATAAAACGTATTCACTTATACATAAATGAGAGAACTACAACAGAACATCACTTATTAATAATCCGATAAATTCCATTGATCTTGCCATTCGCGTGAGACATTCGTATCCGAATGAAATGTATATGGTAGCCATATATAGCTAGCGTTCAATAAGTTAGGATAATCCGAACGATCACGCATGTAAATATAAAATACAGTTCCTGGTTGTTTTGTTGACGGAAACGGAAGAACAAAAGTCGACTGACTATTTAATGTTGTATCGAAACGTGTTGGATTGCCCAAATGAATCCATTTGGTATTTTGCAAACTATCTGCATTGCTGATGAACAACTCAGCTGCATTAGGTGCCCAACCCGTCAAATGACTAGTCATCATGTAATAGTTACTATTACGATGAAAAATCGCGTGTCCTTCTCCAAGTTGATTAGGGCACTAGTTAGGGTGGGTGTGGATGTAAGAAGAACGACTCACAGCCATACTCACAAGCACGCATCCCACACCCACACCCACACCCACACCCACACCCACCCGCACCCACACCCACACCCACCCACACCCAGCCATACACCCACACTCATACCCACACCTCACACCCACACCCACCCACACCCACCCACACACCACCCACGCCCACACCCACACACCCACACCCACACCCTTTTGGTGCGTAAATTGTGAGAGAAATTCGATGTCCCATTTAGAAATGACTTATATTCTACACCTCTACATTGTTTTCTTAGAGCAATGGTTTTAGAAATGTTAATTGACTGAAGTTGTATCTGATATGTATAAACATGAGCTATAATTTCAGTATTTTTGATATATCCACATTAATTAATTCAGGGATTTCCTTTGGATTTCCATGGAATTTTCGGGATTGTCGGAATTTTCATGGGATTGCCGGGATTTCCATAGAATTGCCGGAATTGCCATGGGATTGCCGGGATTGCCAGGGGTTGCCAAGATTTCCATGTGATTGGCAATCCTGGCAATCCGCCGATTCCCCCTTGGGATAATGTATTTTTGATACTGAACAGCATCTATAAAACTATTCTGTTTCAATAAAATGACTTCAATAATTTGTTTAGAAGAACAGTATAAAATCTTTGTGTTTACGTCCTATAAGCATGCGTCTATTAAACCAAGTCTTAATATAACACGAGAATGAGAAAATAATTCTCCCGTAGTGAGAGTGTCAGTTTTTCTCAATAGACATCAGTTAATTAACTTTCTATTTTCAATTGATGAAAAAAATCTTTACTTAATTTCGAAAGCTAAAAGGCAAGTTAATTCGATATCGAAAACTCAAATTATCGATGATTTATCAAGAAAGTCTTTTCTTCGGCAAAATGATGATTATTGAGAAAGAATGAGTATAGGATTTAGAGCAATGTTATTGTCGACAGCCATACCTTCATCTCTTAGATTGCGACTTATTCTATTGACACAATTACTTAATGGAAGGAAAACATACTTGGTTAGCACATTATTCTCATCGGCACAACATAAACCTTGAAAAGATTCGGTGCAAAAGATGCTATAATCTTTTGTTTTCGTGAGAACTCATCAAGTTGAAATATTTCATTGAGCATATCTCCATCATTAGCTTCACACAGCATCGTGATTTGTTGATGAGTAAAATAACGGTATGAGTGTGTTTTTATTCAGAAAGATTTCTCTCTGTACCAGTCCCAACAAAAGTTACATGTGCTTTATTCCATTTTGTACCAGAAGAAATTTTCGCAAATTTAATAGACGAACAGTAATGTAACCTACGTAACAACTTGGACAACAATGGTGTCAGTATGGATGTAGGTTGTACGTGTGAGTGCAGATGTAGCATGTCGGTGGATGATAGAATAACTGACTATAACACTCACATCTTCAGCAAGATTTTTCTATGCCTGGCAATGGTTTATCAGGCGTTATCGAATGCCATCAGCAGCTATCAACGCCAATACCATTCTTGTGCTGACAAACTTGAAAATTATTTTAAACCCTTCTAGTAATAATATTTCTATTGGATGTTTTGTAATTCACGCACTTTGTGCAATGAGGTTTTCTTGACTACATTAAAGTGTTAATTTATAAGCAAAAGTTTATTTATCATATACACGGAATTATATACTGTTGTATTAACCATTCGATCGCTTTGATGTCATAATGTCATTAAAGTAAATTTGTTTCACGAAGAAAAAGTTCAAAGCCTACAAAGATGAGTATGTACTGTTGTAATAACTCGATATCAACTGTGTATAAGAATAACTATAGAATTTATTTTTTAGACTTTTTATTTATATATACAGGAGTATAACATATTACGAATTTCAAAGTAAAAGCTAGTGTAATTTTTTCTACTTCCTTTTGCTTTGCAATATCTTTTCAGGTATGTTTTTTTTTATTTCGTGCGCAAGACTCACATTGCGCAAATCACTGAAGCATATCATTTTGTGCACACATATCGTGGTATGCAATTCTCTGCGCACATCTTGTGTAGGCTTGTTCGTGATAGAGTCTGTAGTAAGAAAAATACAAAAAAAACCTAGGCGAAATAACGAATGGTAAGAAACGAATACGGTTGTCTTGCTGCAAAGGTAAAAATATACAATCATTCGACAAAACAAGCAAACACTGTTACATACACAAGAGCAAGCCAAATCAACAGTACCTCAAACACAAAATTTTCCTCATATATTGTGTTTTTTTATTTCGTCGTAGTAAGTAATTTATTAGGATAATGTCAAAAATAGAAACAAGTCTATTAAATAACTCACACATAGTGTCAATATGATCTGTATATTACATACAAGTGAGACAGATATGAAATCGATCACAATGATCGACTTTTCTTTTGAACGATAGATTGATAAATGTTTGTTAGGTAGCATTCTTCTTGATTCATGTTGTTGCCTCTATCTCACTTTTATTTATTATTTTAATTAGCTTCAATTTATTCACAATGTCTATACATTACATAATTAATATGCTGTTTTGTTTTGCTAAGACTATACATCATCTTGAATTAATCAAGAGATGAGCGGAGAACTATCAGCATAATAATAGTGAAATTTTTATGTCGGTGAGGATAAAGGTAAAAATTTTCATGTCTTTCAGCAGTCTTAAAGTCAACCTGAAATACTTCTTACCATAAGGTACAGCGAAACGTAAAGGACAGACCAAATGTTTTCAGTCTGGCATTTTTGGATAAGGATGGTCACGATGACTTCGAGATAGCCTGAAATTTTCGCGTAAGATAACTTTTATTTTAATTTTCTTCTTGTCAAGTTAATAATTCTTTCACACTTTGAGAATATTTTTAATTCGTATGAATTTGATAACACTTTCAATTCATATTCATGGACTAAGTAGGATAGACATAGAAGATCTTTTTTATACTCATACTAGTGAGTTTAATTAATATGATAGTATAGAGTTCATGAGAAAGATGAGTTACAAAATAATTCATATTTATAACATTTCTTCATAGGAAAACTTTATTTGTGAGATCTGTCAAGATGTATTTTGGTTTATTAAGTATGAAAATTCTACTAAGATGCAGCCCGACATATAAGAATCAATCAGAGTCTATCAGGTCTTACTTCCTTTATGTATGTGTTTTAGCTTTCATCCTCATACAGGGGATGTGTTCTATGTGTATTTTTATGACCTCACTTTCATTTAAAAACAATTTTATGCGTAAGTGTCGGTGCGGTAGTGGCTCCCGTTCGGGAATATCATGTGTGAAAATTTTGTGCACGAAGTTTGATGCTACATCGTAATGCGAAAGATAGACGGGTGCGGGTGTGGGTTTGTGTGGCTGTGTGGGGGTGTGGGGGTGTGGGTCTTATTCTCATACCCACACCCACACCCACCCACACCCACCACACCCACACCTACGCCCACATCCACACCCACACCTACATCCACACCCTATGGTGGAGTTACGTTTACCGATAGTCCCATATAACTACTGTTCGAGGTTGAGTGGCATCAGCATTTCTATGCATAAGGAAAATTCTGCCAGCACCCAATTAATGGGGAGGTGAGTGCTTGCTCTTACTATGTGTCGCAGTGCTAGCAGTTAGATACTTGTAGTACCTTTAACGGGTATTCGAAGGTCCTTCTATTCAAAATTTCTAACTTTTATAGCAAGAGAAAGACAGAAACTACTATGAGTTTTAGTTGAACAGGTTGAAGTTTGCGAAAGTTACATGTAGTTATTGTGAGGGCCAGTAGGGATTATTAATGCTGTCTAGTAGAGCGATTAGCAAGAAGCCTCCGGGGTTTATGTGATTGAAGACAGATCTGGTAGGTTATGAATAGGTAAAACACTACGAACTTAGCCTGAGTCTCTAAACTTGTCGTGAATCATTTAACAAAATCCAATGCGCGTGTACAGAGTTCCATGTGAAGCAGCATGCACAATTCTTTTATGTACGCATATTACATATAAGTTTTTACCAAGTTTCTTTCATTAAATTGTTTCCTCGACGAAAGGAGGGGTCATGCGCAATAAAATGCATTTCTGTGTGTATCTGTCTGCTTACTGGTGGCAAGCTACAAAAATCAGTTTTTATTAATTTATTTTTACTTTTTCATCAAGGTTGACGAAAGCAAATCGAGGTCAAAGAATCCGCATCTAAAGTTAGATTTTTACCACTTACGAGGGAACATTCCCAAGTGATACGCACCGTTTGAGTTCATGTTTTTCTTGTGATGAGAGTTGATGATGTACATAACAGAACTAAAAGGGTTCGTGCCATTGTTTTTCCGTTTCAAAGTTATGAGCACAACAAATCCTATGATAGGTGGCGCCATAATCTTCACCTTTTTCGTTTCTATCCACTTTCTACCGTAACTATAGGACGTTGTCTTCACTGGAATAATATAGTAATAACCTATCTCTTATCCTATTATTCACCTGCTAAGTCCCAAGTGGATATGCCTTAATACTCAGTACATCAAGCTTTGCTATTTTGCAGTTCTCTGAGAATGCATTTTGTTTCTTGTATTAGTAAGATCAGACCACTTCTGTTCGTACTTCTATATATTTTATAGAGACAAAGAAGATTCAAATGAAAAATACAAAGAACTCTTTTATTACAAAAGGAAGAAAGCGGAGGAGCACATCAATTATGAAAATTCAAACGAACTTTCGGAGACATGAAAAGAATCAAAGTCTAATAATAATGAGTTCAAAGGAAATGAGTAAAATTAAACTCTTGACAATAGCATGGACAACAAATCATGGGATCATCTATACAACCTTTCGTACAAATTTTATCTGTTTCAATGTGGAGCATATTTGGAAAATTTTGCAATTCATGAGAGGTCATATATTCTTTCGGTTTTAGATATGATTCTAATAATAGCTTCTTTTTTCTGATCGAAAGAGGTTACACTAAAGCAAAAGCATAATAAGAGTTTATTCTTAAACCGAAGAATATCTCTACTTAATATATCGTATAGAAAAATATTTTCTTGTTTTGCACAATGGGTGCAAATTGTTCTATGCTTTACGAGAAATAATCATTAACGGAACTTTTAATCACTCAACTAACGATAACTCATATTCACCTGAGACTTAGCAGTTGAGTAGTAGAATAAAAAATAAGTTATTAATATAATATTTAAGTGAACACAACGCCCTATAGTTAGGGTAGAAAGTGAATAGAAACGAAAAAGATGAAGATTATGGCGCCACCTATCATAGGATTTGTTGTGCTCATAACTTTGAAACGGAGAAGCAACGGCACGAACCCTTTTGGTTCTGTTATGTACATCGCCAACTCTCATCACAGGCAAAACATGAACTCAAACGGTGTGTATCACTTGGGAATGTTCCCTCCTAAGCATAATTTTTATCTCTCTTGTATGAAACTGTGTCCGTTAATTAAGTCGTTGGGATTATTGATTTAATCACAACTCTTGTATAAGACGATCAATACATACATTGCGACGAAACGTCTTGCAACGAATTGTCCGGTCATGGGTCCAAAGGCCATATGACTGCATAGGGATCGGCGTCCAAAGTGCATAGGGCGCTGTAAGGATCAAAGTCCAAACTCCACAGAACAATGTAGGACTCACAGTCACAACTCCACAGCATTGCATGGGGATCCAAAAGTAAAATATATAGGGCGGTGAGGAGTCGAAGTCGATAAGCTGCTATAGAGACAGCACAGACAAACACAAGCACCCTCTCACATGACTCTTTTGTGTTTTGACTTCGACATCAACTAATTGACATTGAACCTGGAACCATATGTCTCCTGTGGCATTTCCACGTTGACCATCACCATCACTTCTGAACTTTGGGTCTCACCCTCACCTTTGGACTTTGACCCCCGCATCCCCAGCTTTTTATTATGCCCTTAATATCATCGGTTAAAATCGTGAAGCTTTGGGGCCAAAGGACAAATATTACAAAAGGATGAAGAGATGATGGAACGATGTGATGATCTAACAATGTAACGAAGTGATGACATAACGATCCAACCATGTAGCCTTTGACCACTTCACTAACAGCTAGTGACCTTTGACCCCGATCCGTTAGTCACTCGTGAGCTTATTCTCGACTCGTTGCGGTTGCGCCGCGACTTGTGGCAACCAGTGCACTTACCGAATCTTATTCACTTCAGAGTTATTCGACTGGTAAATTTTTCGCAAGATTACTGATCTTGTGAAGTTACAACAGGTAGATAGTTTAATGTGATACTATTGAACTTTGTTTTCACACTGAATGTCATCATTTGAAAGATTTTTCTTATTAGATACTTTTTGCAACATTCATGAAATTTTCATGTGATTTAGAACTCAACAAATTTGACATGTCCGGTCAGCACAAATTAAACTGTAAGGGTCGTCTTTGTGCCACATGCCACAAATGTATTGATTGGTATTTTACTGGGCATCAAAATACATTCGATTGGATCCGAGATTACAAACATTGGACCAACCAAGACTGGGATAGATATTATAGTGATCAGATTTACAACCTTTTTAAAAAACGTGATGGCGCGACTTGTGATGATTTTGGTCCTGCTCCTGCTCCTAAGGTTATTCATCGTAATGGTCATGATTTTCATTGTGAAGGTTCTTATCGTAACACGTCTGATGATTCTACTTTTCTTAAGTATCGTTATCGTCCTGATGATGATAGTAGTCTTGTGTGTAGTGGTTATAATATTGATCATGATCATGAACGTTTTCGTCATCTTTGTTTATGCCAGGAGAGTGTTACAAAATAACAACGCTATTTCCGAACTGAAAGCAGAAAAGACAAAAGAACTTTATTAATGAAATTTTCTCCCTTATCGACCATCATCGGCAGCAAAAACACATCGATCTTGTAGGAAAACAGAGATACAGCATGAACACAACCACAAGACTACACATTCACTATAATTAGATCATGTTTTCCTTTGTGTCTTGCATCCATATTCCTTCGAATTTATTAAAGATATTTTCGATTGAAAGCCATCAAACGACGCGTTTCGTCCTTGCTTAAGGCGCTCATCAAGTATATTCTTAAGGGGGAACCCCCCCTCCGAAACCTATCTTCTAAACGATACAACAGATTTCGATGAAAATTTCAGGAAATAGAAAAGCTAATGTAACTAGCATCTGATAAAAATTTCAACCAATCATTTTTGATAATTAAGAAGCTATACTCAATTTACTCATGAAAACGGGGGTTTTGGCACGGAACATTTTCCCGATGCGCGGTAGCATGAAAAATGTTGAACTTTGTTTCAAAATGAAGAAAAATCTTTTATCTAGAAATTGTAGGAACAGTTTTTTGAAATTCGTTTTCGTTCAATTGTAGTAATCATTTTAAACCGAAAATCGCAAAAACTGCTTTGAGCACTTTCAAAGATTTTCAAATATCTAAACAATGGAGACATATTTTGAAAATCTGTTCCGACAATTTCTAGAAAAAAGTCTCATCTTTTAAATAAATAAAAATCAGCAGAGTACATCAAGCGGTGAACTGGGAAAATGTTCCGCAATGGTCAGAAAACGATAAAAAAGTGAAGCTGAGAAAAACGAATAACAACATTGCGACGTAGTTGATGATCTTCTTGCAGAGAGAATTCGAGCATATTATATATCACTGAAAAGCGCACAAAAAGTTCTTACAGTTGGTAGTATTTTCAAGAAAAAAATAAGCCGATTTCTTAAGCTAATTTCTGAATCCAAGTTCACTGTAGCGCCATCTTTTCGAAAAATAGCCTAATTTTGAACCTTTCTTATAAGACTGCAACATCCAAAACATGATTACTCGATACGGTAATGGTTTTAGAGTGCTAATAAAGAAGATAGAACGATATTAGTTACCGATAATTAAGAAAGAAAATCAACAAGAC